CAATGGCTCACTCCTAGCGCTCTGGGAGGCTGAGGTAGGTGGATTGCTTAAGCTCACAAGTTTGAGACCAGCCTGAGGAAAAGCAAGACCCCATCTCTACTAAAAATAGAAAAATTGAGGCAAGAGGATCGCTTGACCCTGAATCTGAGGTTGCTGTGAGGTATGACCTCATGTACTGAGGGTGGCAGGTTCAAACCCAGCCCCGACCAAACTGCAACAAGAAAATAGCCGGGCGTTGTGGCGGGCACCTGTGGTCCCAGCTACTTGGGAGGCCAAGGCAAGAGAATCACCTAGAGCCCAGGAGCTGGAGGTTGCTGTGAGCTGTGATGCCACAGCACTCTACCAAGGCCGATAAAGTGAGACTCTGTCTCTGTAACTATATGGAATGGAAATCTATTATTATTATTATTATTTTTTAGCAATTCCTGGGCTTTAGGAGATTCTCTTGCCTCAGCCTCCCGAGTAGCTGGGACCACAGGCACCTGCCACAACGCCCGGCTATTTTTTGTTGCAGTTGGGCGGAGCCGGGTTTGTACCCACCACCCCCGGTATATGGGGCCGGCGCCCTACCCACTGAGCCACAGGTGCTGCCCTATGTACTTTTTTTGGAGCTGAAGTCTCACTCTGTTGCCCAGGCTAGAGTGCATAGAGTGCAGTGGCTGTCATCCTAGCGCCTCAAACTCCTGGGTTTAAGCCATCCTTCTGCCTCATCTCCTAAGTAGCTGGGACTACAGGTGCCTGTCACAAGGCCCGGCTAGATTTTCTTTCTTTCTCTCTTTTTCTCCCTCCCTCCCTCCTTCCTTCCTTTCTCTCTCTTTTCTTTCTTGCTCTCTTTCCTTTCTCTCTCCCTCTCTTTCTTACCTTTGTCTCTCTCTCTCTTGCTCTCTTTCTTTAGACAGAGTCTCACTTTATTGCCCTTGGTAGAGTGCCCTGGTGTCATAGCTCATAGCAATCTCAACATCTTGGGCTCAAGTGATTCTCTTCCTCAGCCTCCCGAGTAGCAGGGACTACAGGCACACCACAATACCTGTCTATTTTTAGAGATGGGGTCTCTCTCTTTCTCAGACTGATTTTGAGTCTGTGAGCTAAGGCAATACACTTGCCTTGGCCTTCCAGAGTTCTAGGATTATAGGTATGAGCCACCATGCCTGGCCTTTTTTTT